TTGGATAATGAAAATTCAAGGGGACTCTTGTGGTCTTTTCAGTGACGCTTGTGTCGGTAAGCTCAAATTAAGACAGATTATATAGTTTTACAATTTATTAACAATTAAAACTATCATTATCTAAAATAGGGGGGTGAAATCGTAATTTGTTGATCGGATACGCAACAAAAATTCGTAAAAACCATTGCCCTGGTAAAGAAGGAGTCCATCCACGTGCTTTGTCCTGAGTTTGTCTTGGAATTTATTTATTAAGTTTATTTTGTACATACAAGTATTATATTTTTATTCATTGTTCTTTTTCTTTGTTGTTAGATTAGTGTTAAATAATTATGACTATAGAAATTTTAAAATGGTAACTATTGTTAATAAAGGGTTAAGTAAACCGTTACACGCTGTTATGGTAGATGTTGGAGTTAAAGAAGTATTATTAGATATAAAAACATATTTAAATCGAGCTACCATGGCACTTGCAAAGGATTCTATGACTGAATGTGGAAAATCCAAATGTTTATTAAATTGATCTAATTAATTTGTTATTATTTCTATAATGAGCAATGAGTATATGTCGCTTAATAAAGATAAATAGACAATGATTTGGGGATATAATTAAGGTATTGTAAGTCTCATATATAGTAATAAGATGTTTATTGTTACTAAACTTATTTGTAATTTGGAAATTCTAGACATATTTTCATTTTGTCGGTCACATTGTGTTTCTTAGTCGCCAATTTATTATTTTAATTATTGTTATTAGATAGAAAAATTATTGTGTTGTGAATTTTTGATTGTTTTGTTCACAATTTATTTATTTTTTCTTTGAAACAAATTTGATTTGAGCATGAGGTGTATTCGCACGAATCAGTTATGGGTTAGTCTATTACGGAACTAAGCATTGGTTCAGCAAATGTTCTTTCGTTAATAGTTTTTAGTATGTAGAAGATATTCTGAGAGTCTAGTTACCATTTTTAGGATAATGAACCGTTCCATTGTCATTTATTAACATATGGAGACATCATTTCTATCACTGATGGCATTTCGGGTTCAAGTCCCTGTCGAAAGCAGATATGTTGGAAATTCTATCAAGTAATGGTACGAGTATATGGTGTTTTGCATTGCTTCTCTGAAGTCTTTTTGTCAATGAAAGAAAAAGTCTAGTGCCATTTTCCAATTTTGCTTAAGCTTTCTATCAAATTCGCAAACTATTTCTTTTGAGTTCTGATATCGCAGGGAAGTTGGTGTTTCTGGTACACCGAAAAATAAAATAAGGATGGTCTCCAAGTCGTTTAACTTGAATATAAACATAATAACGGTATGTTTCTAGTTGAATAGAAATTTCTACTTCAGAATGTGCAATTCGTGCCTATTTACTGATCTAAACAAAATGAAGTAACACCTGAGATTTTGCAGTGCCTTTTTGACTGTTTGTTGGAAAGATTACTAACTTTTAAATGAAAAATCTAGATTTGATTGATCTAGAACAATTTAAGGTGCTTCAAAATAAAATAAGTCTCGTTGTCATTTTGTCTATAAAGTTGCTGATGTTTTTGTTATATAAAAGTTAACTACAGCACGAGTCTCATAAGAGATACCTCTCCATACCATTATGGACCCTCCTTGGTAACCTACTGTTTCAGTTATAGCGCATGGAGCAAACCTCTCATTTTGACGCCTGTAGACACGCTGACGTCCATCTGGTCCTCTTAAGGCTATTCTGCTTTCATCCGCGAACAGTACGTTCTTCCATTCCTCTACAGTCCAGTCAGCATATTCTCGCGCAAAACCAAGTCTAGCTCAACGGTGTTGTGGGAGAAGTTACGGAGCGCGAGCCGAATGAAAAGCCTTCAAATTACCCTCTGCTCGTCTTCCTCTAACGGTACTTACTCTGATACTGAGATTTCTCACCTCAAAAAGGCGCGTACCAGCTACAGTAGTGGTCGAAAAGGGATATCTCAACTCATTGGTGACAATGACGGTCATCTCGACTAGAAGTGCATCGATGTCGGCCTTGATCTGGCCTGCGGGTGTATAAGCCTGTCTCCCGAAATCGTCTGATGGCATCTCGTACCGTATTTCGAGGTACACAGAGTGTGCGAGCGATGCAACGCTGGCTATACCCCGCATTTTAAATTGATATCTGGTAAGCGAAATCTTGAGCAGAAATAATTCATAAATACTTTTGATAAGGAAATAGTTACACAAAATTATATTTACGTATGATATTACTCGTATAACATCTATACTTAATCACCCGAACACCTACAGAACGAAATACCATATAGGTTGAGTGATATATAAAAAAATGCTAAAAACATCCTTATAAATTAATGTTATTTACACTTTTCTTTCTATGCCTTCATCTTATTTCACATCATTCATTCATTCACATCATATTACATGCCTTGATAGGTGAATATTATTAACTTAAATTTGTGTATATAATTTCTAAGTCATGCAATGAATAAATAAATAAGATTTAAGTAGATCAGATAGGTACCCACCCTTCTTGTTCTTTGGATAATGTGAAAAAAGACAAATCTGTATTTTAACTGTTGGATATTTCTATCATTTGGTGCAAATCTGACAGATTTGTGAGAAAATTTTAAATACCTTTATTTCAACTTTCATAACAATCTTTATCAAGAATATAACATATGCATGTGATTTATACAAAATTAAGACAAAGTAATGACAACTGTGCAGTTGGTAATGAAATTGGGGATAAAGGTAATGAAAAAAAAATTGCTAGTAATGAAATCAGAGACTAGGCAATTAAACGAAATGGCTCGTAATGTCGATGTAAATAAAATATAGTAGTTTTACATAATCATTTTACTATCAATTTATTTATGTGAATATTCATTTTATATTAAAAAGAAAACAACAAATTATAGAATTCTGCCAATTAAAACAAAACATAAACTACTTCACAAAATTCTTCAAATTCAATTATTATCTTTAATCTTTCAATTATAAAACCCTAAAAGTAAAAAATAACTTTGGTATCTTTTTCCGTAAATGTAACAACTAAAAAGGACATTTACCAAAAAATATTCCAACATTTGTATTTTAATACCTATAGGAAATAAACTATTTACTTAAAAAACAGTCGCTTATTACAAATCAAATAAGTTTAGTTTCTCATCAGTCTCATTTTACTTAATAGATATGATTGTTATTATAGAGTAAAGTAATTTTATAAATAGATATTAATGAAATATAATTGTACTGTTTTTTGGTAATATTATTTGACATTTGATTCGAAATCATTAAAGTTCTAGCTAGCCCTATATTATACCGTTAAAAGATATTACAAACGTTTCAAACTGAACAGATTAAATAATTTTTCTTATGAATATAAAAAAATATGCAAGTATGACAAACGACAAAAACAAAAACTTAATTCTTAATTCGCACAATTTTAATTCTTTGGCTTGGTAAATTAAAAAAATACTTTTATCAGAATTATCCAAAAATGAAAAAATACGTGAGTTTTTCTTTAGAATTCTGTTCTCTTCACATATTTCTTCTCCACTGCTACTTTCATCCAAATAGTTAAAATACTTCTTTTTCACCTTTCTATCCTTTATGCGTACTTTTTTTACATTATCAATTTCTGAAATATCATCAGGATTATTTTGTTCTTTATCTTGTTCATTTTTCGCTATTTCTTCTACATTTCTAGAAATAAACTTTTCGAAATCAATGGTATGGTGATTTTGTTATTATGTTTGGCTCTACTTAGAGAAGCCATCATATTTTGTGGAGCTTCAGCGGTTAATCAATTCTGGAATTGATTAGTAGGAGTAGGAGCTCCAGGATTTGTCACTTCTCGAAGGACATCTTTCGACGTGTTTTCATTTACGAAATCTTGTAGATGTTCAGCATCGATATTTTTATAAACAAGAGTTACGTTCATAAATCCAAGATGGTATCCGTGTGAATATATTTCACCATTTTCACACAAGAAACAACTTAGTTTTCGAAAGGTTGTTCGAAGCATGTTATATGACCAAAACACTTGATGCACAAACATTGTTCCACGAAATCCTAAAAACCGATGAGGGAAATTTTCTCTTTTCAATATCTTCTTTTGAGACAGAAAGAAGTTTGATATTCTGCACCTTGTCTTGAATAAACTCAAAAAAGTCTTCCATTGTGCCAATATCATTACTAAACCGTACAATTTGATCTGCGGTTCTCTTTAGGACAGCACCGACATCATCGGGCGCTACTTTGCCGTATCCAGCCTCTAAATAGTTCCAGGTCACAAATTTTAACTGTGGAAAATCCTGTTGCTGTTGGCTAATAACGAAGAAAATGTAGCGATTCCTATATTGGATAGAAGGACTGTCAGATACAAAATGTACTGTATCAATCAGAGGTGATATTTCTGTTACGTATGTTAGTAGCGGTATGAGATGTGCCCATATGGCATTGGCGTCGTGTCTGTTGCATTTGCTGACACTGCAAACGCTGTATGTCTTCGTGATTCCAGTTTCTGCATCAATTAAATAAGCTACCGCAGTGTGCAATATTATTTGCAATCGACTGCCGCCGAAATGATAGCTTTGTATCTCCTCATTAAATTTGACGGAGTAATTTTCTGAAGAATCTATGTCTAGCATAACCTCCTTAGTAGTCATTGTCGCTTTTAAAGATATGATATTCTTGTAATGGACAACGATGTTAGTACAATGCATAAAGTATGAATTCAGAGAATCTTCTAATTTTTTCACAACGTTTATTGGATAATCCTGTAATCGAGTTTTTACGGTAGCAATTTTTACTTTCTCTTGACCGTTTACATGATAGTTTTCGATAATAGTTTATTTTCTCTCCATTACTAAAATCTCCATAGTTAATTACTTTGTTTCTACATACTTCACATGTTCGATTCAAGCATTCTTCATTGTTTATGTTACAGCACAAACTTTCCAACATAGCAGTCCCATTGGCCTTTCTAGTGATTTTTTTCTTGTTAAGACTGTTAACCCACAAATCAAAATTAACGTGTGTTTTACAAGTACATGTGTTACGATCAGATTCTTTCGGATTGAGAACCCAAAACGGTCGATATTTACAAAACGTAGAATATGCAATATTATTGTTTTGGATATACATGAACTTTTTATGGAGGTTAGTTAATGTATCTGATAAATAGCGCTTCTGTTTTCTTGGTGCATTTCATGTTATAAATTCGTTTTTGTACCATACCATAGCGTAGTCTTCTTATTAATTTATCTTTTTTCTCACACTTTTTGCAGTTTACGCTAGGCACCTTTACTAATTGGTTTGACGGCCCTTCTAATGGATCTTCCCCAGCATCTATATTTTCTTCTCTATCGCTTGTTGGAGGTGAATCGTCAATTAGCATCTGTTGTATTACTCTTTCTTTTTTCTTCTTTTCTAAATAACGCTTACTGTTTTCGTTCCATTTTTTTCTTTGTAGTCTCTTTTCTCTTGAAGTCATTTGAGCAACAGATTTTATTTTATTTTGTTCTTTTCAAATATCTCTGTCTTTCTTTTTCCTTCTGAATTGCGTTTTCGGCATCGTTTTTAATTTCCTCATACTTTTTTCTTTTATGAAGTCTTGCTTGAGCAGCTTTTTCTTCGCGAGTTTTTTTTTGTTTTCGTTTTAGCCATACTAGTGCCTGACAAAAATAATGTTAGTTAGAAATCATAATAATTATTAAATCTATTAGAAAATAATAGGTGCTCACAAACGCAGCCGAAAGATTTAATTTTATAACTTGTTATTCATACTTTCTTCAAAACTGACAGACAGCATCTAAATAACTTCTTTAAATATTGAATGTCAACAATCTCAAACTTTTCATTATGTCTTTTAGTTTTAGATAGCATTTTTGATATTTTTTTTGTTTTTGTAAAAACGCTGTTTAATACCCAAGACAAAAGGAAATGTTGTGAAAAGACATTTAATATATAAACGAAACTCTTTCTTGAAATGGTATCTGGTATCTAAAAAATGGTCTAAATAAGTAGTTATTAAAATAAGAGGTGGCTTTAAGGCCTTGAAATGCCATTAGTTACTTCAATCATCTTTGTAAGTAGGTTTTCAAAAGTGCAATCAATTGTGTATGTCATATTTATGGGACTACAGATATAAATATCTATCAAATATAAATAAGCGTCAAATTCATTACCCTCATTTTTAGTTCATTACCGTCACCTTCATAGCTGAAGAAAATTGATGGTAATGAAAGTGAGGGTAATGAATTTTTCAAACTGTTTTTGATCTTGCTCGGTAATTAATAGATTTACGTACTCAATAATAATAAGAAATATGACTACACAAATAACAAATACTTCCAGACCAAAAGCATAAAAAAACTATAACTACTTACATGAACAATCAGCTGTAGGTAATGAAATCAAAACTGGTTGAAGCACGTACTTGCTGATCTTTTTTAGCAGTAGCATCAAAATTTACACACGTCTTGCCCCGTTCGTCATTGCTGGCCGACTGGCTGGCAAGTGAACGGCGGGAGGGAGATGCGCCATCCAGGTACGATGCATATACAGTATGATTTTTGATATTTAAAACTGACCTCCATTTTTATTCTTCTCTCTTCATCTTGGGTCTCCGTCTCTCTTGAAACTACTCCGAATTCTGTGCCACTCATTCGTGAAGTCCCGTAGCCGCTTGAAGTTCGCTTCGGATTCTACAAGGTCCGGATAGTAAACTGGGCTCATCTGGAGCGCCATAACAGCCCCCAAAAGTACCCTTCGCGCATCCCCATACTAAAATTTATGTAGTAATGCCAGAAAATGTTGGTGTTTGATTGTAGTTTTCAATCGTACTCTTATCCATTTTTGGCGGTTCCATGTTCGTGATTAAAAACATCTAGACTCATTCTGTTTTTCCTCTTCTGTTATCATGATGTTGTCAGCCAAATTCTTTATTAGAGGATCGGAAAGTAAATGCAGGTCGTTCAAAAGGTGGTCACCATATAAATTCTTCGCTTTTTTTTTTGAAGCGCATCAGTGAAATAATTTTCTATGTTATATGCTTGAGGGTCAAACATGTTGATATTATGCTTAGTGCGCAAATTTTTCCCTCCAGATTTCTGCATTTCTATTGGTGAACACCAACTCTGTTCCACCAATGTTTCAATTGGTTTTAAAGTGGATACTATGCATATGCAAATACGATTAAATAAAGATTTAAAAAAAAAATATTTACGTTTTGCAAGAACATCAAAATAGAAGTGAAGTAAAAAAAAAAACAATAGGTATGGATAGCTAATCACAAAAACATTATGTCAAAAAATAGATCAGAAGAGTAAAATTGTTCTAAAAAAAGTATTTTATAGACGAGTAAAAACTCCTTGCTCTAACACTCCTCCTCAATTTTATCTCTTCTTTTCCATACCCATTCATACAACACTTATATCATACCCATACAGCATTCATACAACACTCATACTAGACGTACACCACTCAAACTTACCTTTCAACAAAAGTTTATTCAAAGAGTCTGCAACCATGTGTTCAGTTTGTACATATTTTAACTCAATATGCCCATGCTCAACTGCTTCCTTTAGAAAGTGGTGACGTACTGCAATGTGTTTTGTACGCTGATGATGCACAGGATTGTGCGCGATTGCAATGGCTGATTGACTGTCACTGAATATCTTAATTGGCATCTCCTCCTTACCAATTATTTCAGCCACAAATCTTTTTGTAAAAATTGGCTCTCTAGCGGCTTCAGACATTGTAACGTTTTCCGCTTCAGTTGTTGATAATGTAACTCATGATTAGGTTTAGTATTCCACGCTCTTGGAGCTTGTTTTAATCCGTACAATGAACGTTTCAGTAGACAAACATGATCTTCCTTCCCTTTTTCTTCGAATCCTTCCGGTTGTTTCATGTAGACAGTTTCATCATATTCCCCATTTAGAAACGCTGTCTTCACGTCCATTTGATCAATGTGCAAACCTTGTTTCACAGCCTGAGCAAGTACTCGTAGAGAACTGAGCCTCACTACTGGTGCGAAGGTTCCATCATAATCTACTCCATATCGTTGACTAAATCCTCTTGCAACAAGTAGTGCTTTATATCTGTGTCTATTTCCCTTTTCTTTGATTCTAAATAGCCATTTAGAATCAACGACGTTGGACGACTTTTGCGGTTTTACGAGAGTCCATGTCCCAGTTTTCTTCAGCGCATCAAGCTCCTCCTGAATTGCTTGTTTCCATTTTTGCTGTCTGATCTTGATAGTACCTCGCGCAGTCAATGGATCTCGTTCCACTTTGGTTTGATATAGGATGTAGTCAGGGAACTCCTTTTGTTTTCTATCCCTCAGTGGATATCTCCTTTCATTTTCCCGTTGAACATTTTCAGGACTCCAACTGTCCAATATTTCAGCATCTGGTCCTGCGACTTCAGGTTCTGGTTCCAGGATAATTAGTTCAAAATCTATTACATCACGTTCTTCTATTTCATATATTGGGCCACAATCTCCTTCAGATGTGGGTTTTCTGATTCAAACTCTATCACTTCCACATCCAAGTTTCTATTGTGATCTCCGTTGACATCTGGTTCTGGAGGCGTGTGCAAATCGACAATTCCATTTATTTGCTCATTGTCAGGAAACATCATAAACTCCACTTCAGAAGCTCCTGATGGTTCCGAGTTTGTATATTTACAGTTTTCAGGAAAACTACACATCTAGCCTAGAACTACTTCTCTGTTGCAGGTTCTATAAGGCGGTATGAATTAATTCTATACTCTTTGCATCCTATTTGGTCCGCTTCTGTTTCGGAATATACATAAATGCTTTGCACCCGAAGATCCTAATCTTGACCAGATCCCACTCCATTTTTCCTCTGGTGTCATACTCTTCGTCGTCGAAATGGTCGGTGATCTGTTTTTCAGGTATATTGCATGATGGACAGCTTCCGCCCAAAACCGCTGTGGTAATCCGGAATTATGTAACATGCTCCTTGCCTTCTCATAAATTGTGCGATTAGACCTCTCCGCGACTCCATTTTGTTCTAGCGTGTAGTCAACAGTCAGTTGATGATGAATCCCGTTGACTTTCAGGAAGTCATCCATCTTCTTGTTGACATACTCTGTACCGTTGTCCGATCTCAGTATCTTGATCTTCTTGCCCGTTTCATTTTCAGCATAAGTTTTAATTGATATATCGAAAAAAATCGTCACATCCTTTCCGATTAATGCATCACAAAAATTATCGATATTATTTTTTAAATGAACATCTCTACATCCTACATACAACATCCCTAATACCAATCAATCATCTATTATCTATATCAATATTACTCCCATACGTCTCTGTCTGTGTCTCTGTCTACGTTCCCACATATTTAACTCACAGATAAAAATAAGATAGAGATGTCCATAACATGGATTGTAATCGATTAACCATAAAAAGTATTTAAAAAAAAGAAGTATTAAAAAAGTACCTCCACTAGATGGCGACTCTAGCAAAAGTTGATTTTTGCAGGAACCGAATGTACCAAAGACAGTCATTTTCGTTCCTTTTAACAAAAATATTAAAAAACTGGAATGTGAAAAGTTTTAAACTTAGATATTAATACAGATACGAAAAAGTACAAATAGAATAAGAGTTGTTTATTGAGTTATGAAAACTAATTTACTTTTCAACATAAAAGAAAACCGGAAGGGTTGTCATGGAGAAATCAAGATAAACAAGATAGCGACATGTAGTTTGATTACGGAAATTAAAGCTTTTTTTAATTCCTCATTTATTGAAATTTTCAATTAAGTAACTGTGTTTGTATTAAAAAAGTTTACTATAAGGTATCCGATTATATAAAAGATAAGAATGCTTGGACTTGAGATGATCCAGCAACTGGATAGGTGATTACTTCTTAACTCATTATATATCAAAAATTATCTTGCTTCCATTATTATTAAATGATTATATTATCATTATAAGACAATAGTTTCTTTTTTTTTCTCTCTTTATTTATAATGTATTGATCTGGTAATGACATGGTTTTTGTAAATGTCATTACTCCTATTAGAGCTGGTGAGTTTCAGGCTCGTTCTTCTTATCAGCCAAAAGACGTCCCGAATGAGGGGTAGGGAAAAAAATGTTGGACGATTCAAAAGTACTTTTAAGAAGTCTATTTGAATAAAGATTATTTTGACTTTTGTTACTTTCAGAATAAAATATTATAATAAACATGTAATAACACCAAAAGTTTCTTGTTTTATTGTGTATTAAATGTATATACCTAATATATAGTTACTTTTATTAAATAACATTATATTTTCATGATATAATTATAATTTATCTATTACATAAAATATGGCGTAAAAAGATGTTGTTTGTTTTTCAAAACAAATTCGTATCGTATTATGTAATTTAAAAAAGAAACGTATTAATAGCTTGATATTCATATAGTTTATATATTTACTCAAAACATTTGCATATTTACTCAAATTTAACTTATAAAATCGTAATGGTCATTGAAGTACGTTATCGGTTAAATTACTTCCAAAATACAAGTTTATTGGGAAAAGAAATAATAAGCCAACTAAATATTTTATCATACCTGTATTTTCGATTCCGAAGTTTCATTATTGTTAATTATAAAATAAAGCAACTTAAATCCACGTATTACACTTTCGCTTCACCTTGTCTTAGTGTCACAAGAAAATCACGCGAGTGCTGCGAGAGAACGAGCCCAACGCGCATAAAGTAACTTATAGGGTACCAAAGAGCGCTGAAATTGACTGATTTATTTTTAACTTCATTGGAAAATGCAAGTGAAGAAAAAACTATTTGTTTGGTTACTCCAATTACGAGTGCAACCGGTGACATCTAGTGTAAAATAGTGGAACTTGATATACGAGATCTACCTAGTACATCTAGAGCACGTAAGATGACCTTAAGAAAATATTGATATTTTATTCATAACATCGATGTTTGGCTAGAAAACATCGTTTTGCTGATGATGTCGAAGTTTAAATATTGTTGATAAAAAATCGATTTTTATTCAACATTGATAAATATCGTCATCCCTACTACTACTACTACTTTAACTACATCAACTATATAATCTGTGATAGGGATGGGCAAATGGGAAAAAAATATCGAAATATATCGAATCGATATTTTTCAAATGTATCGATAAATATCGTCAAAAATATATAGATATGTTGATATATCGATATTTTCTGCGTATTAAGCGATTATCAATGATAATTTTAAAATACTCGAAATTTTGAAGCAACTACACATCTGGCTGTTTTGATATCAGTTTTATTATTTAAAATAGGCACATAAAGCTAAGAAAACAACATTATTAGCAGAACCAAAATTAGATTGTTCAAACAAACGTGCATTTCTCTGATATTGACATCAGGAGCACATTCAGTGATACCAACTAAACCAACAAGCAGTGTCACTGTCAAATAAAAAGAAACAAAAAACACAAACAGGTAATAGACTAAACCCATACTGCCTACTGTCCACCTACTCTTTTTCTAAATTTAAGAAAAACATGATGTGACGCATGTGTAGACAGCAGAAATTAAAAAAATATATCGATTTTGATACTAATTTGATATCTGAAAATAAATATCGAAAGCCGATATATCGCGAGAAAAATATATTGCTTATTTATATCGATATTTTTAGGATAAAATATCGATAATTTGATATATCGATAGTTTTTGCCCATTCCTAATCTGTGACTAAAAAATATGACATTTTTGTAATGTAATGTGCATTGGTTTATTATAAATATTATAAATCGGTACTTTATAAATAGAATCAATCAAATTTTATTAGTCAGTCCGGCAGTTTCTTACACATGCTGCATTTAATGTAACGAATTCAGGTAAAAATTATCGAAAGAAAGAAGAAAAAAATATTATTAATTTTAGGTAAATACATAAGTAAATATATTTAGATAATGATAAATCTTGCGACAATTTTTTGAAAGAAACCTAGAGTCATTGTTTCTCTGATATGGATTGTTAGAGTAAATGATTTTGAAGTTTATTGTATATTAATTTTTGATCACTGGTAGACTTGGTATCCTAGAGGTTTATTTATTTACATACATCGAAATAAATTGCTTCAGGTATCGAAAACAAACCTATAATGGGTTCAGAACAGTCATCTATACCTCAAAAGAAGCAACTTCAAAGGGCTCCACCTGTACGACGAGGGCATACAATTGCAGTTACAAATCACGTAGCTGGTAAAATATATAAATAATTTATTATTTTGTATAAACTTAATGAATTTCAGACATCAACATTATTTGGTTTGCAATGATCCCCAGGGAGGGATCGGACAGCAATTGAATATAAAATTCAATAATGTTTTGTTAATTTATTTTTTGTATAAAATAAATCCAATGATTTACTGAATGTAAATGTATTTATTGTGCAAAAAGCATGCATATTAATTAATTCAAAACACTTTTTTTATTTATCCGATTCCTTATTCTGTAAAAGATGTTACAAAATATCAAAATTGATTTCAGAAGGCAGACGTAGCATTGATCCTACGGCCAGCGGTAACAATTCACCTGGTGCTAGCATATGTTCAGATTCGGAGCTGCCATACATATCTTACACTGTTGATAGACCTATTGGAGGTATTGGTTGACTGGGTTTTAACATACAATATAATTTTGTCATAATGTAATTTCTCATTAATCTCTGTTACTGTTTTGGAAAAATTTGTAATTTTTGCAACTAATTTTAAGTAGACTTTTAATAAATAAATATTAAACAACATCACATACATTGCTCAGATTCCGAGATGAGCACCTAAGAGTATCTAAGATAACACAACACCACAGAGAGATAATATAGAAAAAGCAAATGAATTATTATGATTGTGATTGTAAAACACAGGGAATCAAATGGAACCATAGAGAATAAAAAAACTGGGATAGGATCCAGTTGGTCACAAACAAAATTATTTATTTTAGATATTAAACTGATGTGTTTATGTTGTGATGTATTGTTTTTTTTTTCTATATATATTATTGCAATACTACAAAAAATATGAAAAACAACTTAACATGTCTTCTTTGTCTTTTTCTCTAGAGATGATAACATTTTTTTTGTGAATCTATTAGGTTGGGGAAAAAGTCTTCGCATAAACTTTTAATAAAGTGACTTTCATTTGTTTTTCTTCTTTTCTGTCAAAATGAGTGGATTTAATGAAGACATTTGATACATTTGAAATTTTATTATAAAAAGACAAAAATGCAATGCAAGCTGTGAAAAAAAATTGTGACATTTCATTATTAGACATGTCATACCCATACATTATTGCATTTTAAAACTGCATAAACTATTGTGGTAGCGTTACATTAAAATACAACCAAAAAGGGCGCTACGAAATCATAAATAGTTTTCTCCATATGGGAGCATTGGAAACCGGTTGTGGCGCATCGATCGCGGTTGAATTTATTGCCTTACTTTGAGCTCTTTGAGAGCTTTTGATCTCTCGTTATCACAGTTATTGTAAGGTTGGTACGAAATGTAAATTTCTTGAAAAAAATATCGATTGCCGGGTGCTTGCACCAAATATAACAGATAGGTAGTAGTAATAAGAGTTGGAAGAAAAGAAAGGGCTCAAAGTCAAGAAAATAATATAATAAAGATAATAATTAAAATATATACAAACTAAAATACGCTGCTAACTTTCATGACAACAGAAAGAACAAAGGCCAAAGAAAAAAGGAGAATAAAATGTCAACAAAAAAATAGACGTCTAAAAATATCTTATCGGCCTGCTGGCCAGTTCGTAATACAGGTATCTCTTTTGAAAGTGAAAGTTATGTGCATAGACTTTGTGGCACTTTCTTTGATTCTCCACTTCCTTAACCACAATTCTATTATATCAAGTTGTTTTAAAGTTTCAGCAATGCAGTTACAGGATAACTATCACAAGACAAAACAGCGGTATCGTCTGCATAAGTTGCGGTGATGATTTGATTGGAGGTAGGCAGATCTACTTCCAATACTGTATACTTATATAGTATATACTGTATATAGTATAGGCCCGAGAACAGATCCCTGCGGTAAATGTACATAAACCTTATTAAAAGATGTTTTGAATTTTCATATAAAATGCGAATAAACTTTTTCCCCAACCTATTGTACAACCCTTATGATATAGGCCAAAGAAGTGGTACAGTACCAACAGTAGAGTACAGTAACGCGAGTAGAAATGTTGGTTTAAATTATTGCTAGTACAAAAAATACAATAGGACAAAACCTCATTTTCGTTCCCAAATTGTACTCTATTTCTAAGACTTTGCTGTATTTGTATGTGTGTCACTAGGCTGTATCTGATGAACCGTAAAAGTTTGTTGAAATTTTCACATATGATTTTGTTGTATCAACGACAAGTACTAAAAACCAGAATAAAATAAACATTTAAGGGGGCTCCCATATAGCAAACGTGATTGTTTTTGCTCGATATTGATTATGACGATAGGTAGACGCTTGAAATAATTACAGATTATCTATTTATATAGTAATTTTAAAAATAATTAAATTTAAACTAAACAAATATTTAAGGGGGGTTCCCATACAACAAATGTGATTTTTTTGCTCGGTTCCGGTATGCACTTCGGACTTCACGGTCGGACTTGCACTTGGCCGGTTTTTAATGGTAGTTGTTTAAAATATTAAAAAAATGATATACACCATTGACCTTATAGGTATATTTTTATAACACATGCAGAAGTTAAGTTTAACATTGAAGCAAAATTGTTTTATGTAATGTAGAAAATATTTGTACAGAGTTTTAGAGTTAAAAATATTTTGTTGATGATAACAATGGTGTATAGACTCACCAAAAGCATCGGCCAAGACTCAACGAAGTGATAAGAAGCCCCTCCAGCGAAGGCAACTCAGTTTACAAGCTAAGAAGAATAAGCGCGCACGCGACATAGTAGTTGTGGCGCATGCATCAGGTCATGCGCTGGATGAAGATGCGAGGCGACTACAGGTATGCCAAATTATCATCATCAGCCGTACGACGCCGAGCCGCTGAGCATAGGCTTCAACCCATAGTTCTTTAAGACGATCGGGCCTGCCCTGCCTGTATCCAGCGGCTTACCGCAACCTTTGTCAGTTCGTCAGTCCACCTGGTAGGAGGCCTATTCACTGATTGTTGTCTGGTGCATGGTCACCATTCCAAAACCTTTCTGCCCTATCATCCATTGGTCATTCTAGCAATGTGTCCCGCCCACTGTTACTTCAGCTGAGCAAGCCTTTGAGTAATTTCAGTAACGTTAGTTCACCTACGGATGTCTTCATTCCTAATTCAATCACGTAGAGAAATACCAAGCAATTCTCTTTTCATTGCCTGATGACCTTGAGCATTCTTAGTTTTCGCTTTTTCTGAGGCACTCAGGTAATGTGTTTGGTGTGCCAAACACTAGTGGAGAAAATAATTTGTTTGGATACCGGATATTCGATATTCGACTTAGCTCCTGATCTACAGTTTTTAAATTAGATACAACAAGTCGATAGTAGTGGTTTAACTCCAACTTATGAGATAAATTGTTGAAAAAATCACACTTTTTATTTTTAGTGATTAATTAATAATTAAAAATAAAAAGTGTGACGAATATAACGTATTATTCTAAAAAGATGTTGCAGTTATATAGTGGTCAATTTAAAACTGCCCTGCTTTTACCAGGGCCGGATTAGCCACGTAGCAAAAGTAGTAATTGGTACAGGCCCCGCGCAATGGGAGCCTCGCCTTCTGACTAGTCATATTTTCAAGTATGAACATTTACTAACAAATAAAACTCAAGTCACAGATTAGTTGTGTTATTAGGAAAGCAAAGGACGACTTTTCTGTTTCGGGAGTGGGGGGTGGGGGGGTCTGCTTATCCTTTGATTCAATCAGTTCGTAAAGTTATTTTATTTAACAGGAAATACCAACTTTCCTACCCATAATGAGAGGTACGTTAGGACTGCCGGTAGCAAGAGACCCGGACGTATTAGAAGGTATGTGTATTATATATTTTGGCTTGCAAGATTATTGCAAAAAGCGAAGTGCAAATAGAAATTATTAATTATAAAGAATCATTACTTATTAAAATTTTATCGTTAAATAGATGCTCGAGTTCTGTCTTAAGCGAATAGCGATTCTTCAATACATATTTGATGGAATTTAGTTTATCAATAGTAGTATATATAAATAAATGTTAGAGAGCATTATATACGTTGCTCAGATTCCAAATGAAGTAGATTTAATTCTTGTATTATGGAAATCGGCATCAACGAAGATACCCTAACACTCAGACTCGAGACAACGCAGAGAAGTTCTCAAGAGATGATGACCCCACAGAGGCCACGAAGGTCATCAATCGGTCTTGTAGGTCGCTTTTGGTCTGAAATTAAATCAAATTCCATTCCACATAGTTTAGTTTTTATTGTCTGGTTTGGTCACATTTATAAACAACCAACATTAAAAAAAATCTAGCTGTTTTCCCGCGACTTCACCCACGTAAATTATAGCCACTGCTACCATATCACACTACTATGATTCCCGTAGTTGGAAGAATTTTTAAAATCAGTCCAGTAGTTTCAGAGCCTCATCATCATCGTCAGCCCTTTATTTCGTCCCCACTGCAGGGGCTCAGGCCTTCCTTATGGAATGGTTAAGGAGCATGGGCCATGACCCTCCACGCTGGTTCAATGCGGATTGGCGGGTATTAACGACTACAAATGCAGCCGGGGCCAACGGCTTAACGTGCTTTCCGAAGCACGGATTAGCTCGAGATATTTATTTTTTTGTCACCCATCCCGTGATCGACCCTTGCGAAAGTTGCCTAACGACAACGATCGCGTGTAGCAGCGGATATGCACTACGCCACCGAGCTACTCTAAAACTCAAAACTTACAATTTACAAAAATTCCCAGTTTGTTTCAATATTATTCATATTATAACTATTTCAGATTTTATATCAAATAAATTACTTTGTCGAAACGAATCTATCTCTCAGTTATAGTCGGCATATTTCAATCGTCAGTCAGTCAATAAAATGAGTAAGGGTTTAGACTGTAAAATAAAATATGTACTTTTTTGTTAATGAAAATGGAGAACTTCAACTTTGCAACGAGTTATTAATAATAGCAAAATATTTTTTTTATGATAGCTAAATGTAAAGGATTATCAAAGTTCATATAAAAAGGCTATTTATGTTAACTATATCGCGGGCTTCAAGCCAGAGGACCTTATTTTTTTATAACGCTAATCTTTTCTAATTTTATCAATTAACAAAATCTATTATTTATTTGAAATAATCGGAAAATTACTTAAAAAGTATACAGGAAATACTTTCGACATTTGACTGACGATCATGTTTATTTTCATATCTTAAAAGTAAGGGTATTGCTTATATATTTCTCTATAGCTTGAAACCCACGATATATTTCTGCGAGGTTGTTGGTGTTTTTACAGTTAACCCTGTATATTATATCGGCTATTTTTTACAATTCAAAATACTACCTTAATATTTTTACCCTTAGGTTTAGACTACAGACCGTGGGTTAGATTAACGACTCGTCTGCAAGCTCATCTATCTGCGTGTGCGCAACCTTTAGCTGCCGAGGAGATTAGTTTAGCTACTAAAATTAAAGAGGTAAGTAATATACTTTTATTTACATTGCCTCTGATAAGCAAGACTGGTCTCGTCAATTTAAGTAGCAAGGACAGCTAAACTACTACCCTTTAAGCGTAGAAATTACTTTTTCAATACTAGCTAATTACTTGTAAAATAATTATTTGGTTTTATTCTCCTAGAAGTAGATTTATACATCAGACTTTTCTCCCGAGTAACATTAATCTCTTATGACAATAAATGTGTGTTTTTGCGTAATACACCTGCTTTATATTACTCGCTGTTTGTGACCTAGTTAAATAAATTAGGTGACAGTGACCTGATTGATTCCGCCGTTTTTTCTTAATTTAAGGCAGCCTTTCTCAAAGTGAGCGATGACGTCCCCTCGTGGGTGCTGCAGGCATAAAAGGCGGGAAGAGTAAATAAATATTTATTTTCAAAGTGGACAGTAGACGAAATAAGTTTGGGAAACCCTCACCTAAAGCATGTATTGTTAATTAGTAATAAAGATATACGGACTTATAGCACAGTCTATTGATAACTTCTGCAGCAACCAGTGTCAACTGCTAGACGAATCATAATATCAAACAACCTGTATAGAGGTGGACTGCAGTAGTGCAGTTATGTACCGCTCCAAAGCAAAACTTTATGTGGAAATTAATGCTAATTAATATCGTTAGTGTACCTTTCATAGTTACTTATGTTTATCCAATAGATACAATTATTTTATTGCAATCGCAAAAATATGATTTTATAAGAATATGGGTGTTTTCATAATTGAAAATAAAAACATCAAATGAACGCCATCTATTGATAAAACGAATTAAACATTTACGTTCTTTATAAAACCTTGGAAATGTTTTTACGATTTTTCAGTCGGATGTAGAAATATCGAAATTGTATTCCCAAATGGTGGATAAACAGCGAGCTAATGCGAGACACGCCGAGCGACTGTCTAGGGTGCACGAAGTGGCCCATCAGCTGTCTAGATGTAATTCTCTACTGAACCAGGTGAGTCGAAGGAAAATAATAAAATAATGTGGGCCCTAAAAACCCCAAAAACCTCTTTCAAAGCTTTAGTGCTAAAAACAGGAATACGTTTAATTGACCCCAGTTGTCGAGTGGTGCGTACACCGGTTTCGAAGTGTCGCCAGATACTCCATAATACGGGGGCTTTAGCTATTCCATCCTGTATTCTGAGCAATGTATGTGATGTTGTCTAAAGAAAATTATAGCCGTCGACTGCCTAATAAGAACAAAGGGACTGTATATTATAATAGGGATGATTACGGGTCAAAAAATAGAAATTCTATTTCGTTCCTCTCAGGATAATAGAAAAAAAATTGATACGTATTTGTTTTTGCTCCAATTGAATAAGAAGTGACTTAGACAATAGGCATTAAAGGGGTGGAGTCTCGCTACGTCACAATTACGTAGAAAACGTACAAAGGCGTAACGTCATGCAACATTTCAACTCAGTTTATCGCAGTAATTTATTGATTACGCAAAATTTCAGAAAATACGTGTTTAATATTTTTCCAAAATCTACTTGACTGACAGATAAAAATTAGCCATCAACCCTATTGGATTTATCGCATATGAACCTTAAAATACAGAAGATCTTGGACCGTTAACAAACTAAAGAATTCTAGAATACTCTCAACTTGAATTCATCCATTACGGATACGATAATTATTACCTGAAGTCTTTATTTTACCCTTACCTTACCTTCACCGTGTCTTATCTTAATTCTAAATTTACCCTACCTTTATACTACATTTACCCTGTCTTTATCCTACATTGTTCCTTTACCTTTATCCTACATACTTCAATTGTACATTTATCGTATATTTACCTTTTTAATGTATTTAGTAATCGCGTTCTTTTTGACAAGTTTTTAGGGGAAAGTCTTGTTTTTATTTTCGATATTCCTCTACACTTTTTGTCATAAAAAATTTTCGCAGAATTCGATCAACATCAAAATCATATTAGCCCAATTTGATCTACCTATTGATCCATATGTTAAAAAATGTTTGGAACGTCTTTAATCCATTTATTACGCTAAAGAAATTAAAAAACACATAAGTAATGACAATTTTCTTGAATTTTTTTTATCAAACTAATTTCATTAGAAGCCGACCATTATCGAAAAACCTTCTTGCACCATTAGAGGACGTCTCAAAATGTACCATAAAATTTACCATACGATATAACATTTAAGTTTCGCATGGCCATTTTAATCAGTTCTATTTGTCTCAAAATTATGTTTATGCCAACTTATTTATTTGCAGACTTTACAAGATATAGAAGAATTAAATCAACTATTGCCAGAACAGAAGAGATTGGAAACGTTCATCTGGAGTGATGAGCGCTGAAGTATTATATAAAATAAATGTATTTAAAGAATTATGTTTTAAAGAAATCGTAAAAACTTTAGTTTGTGTATATAGCGGTAGTCGATTTGAATTCCATTAGATTTTAAAGGTATATAGTAATTTGGAAAGAAATGCACGCAGCCTTACAAATTAAAATAACCAATTTTATTTTGAAAAAAAAATTTTTTTTTACCATGAGATAGAAATATTAATATTATATACTAATATAGTTTAAAAATGTCTAAAATTAGGAAAAAACCTACTTATCAAAGTTACCGAGATTATATATAAAATAAAAACTAAGAATTATTTTTTTCTAATATGTTCTAATTCAACATACTAATTGATTATTTGAATTTAATTTTGCTAAAAGATGTCGACGGAAAAATAGTTAATTTACCATAATTTAATAGATGAGATTTATGGCACAGTGATATATGACTGATTGGGCCAGTTAAGCAACCTTCTCGAAGTTCAGTCATTAGATGGGTTACTGAAAAGCTTGTAAAGATAGTAGAAGTTTGTATCCCAGTGTTGGGTACATTTAAAGGTTGATGAAATAAAGTATTATTTGTCCTATTTGTATAGTTTAGGACAAACGAAATTATATATAATATTATATTATTAATAAAATCACGATGAAATACTCATTTAATAAATAAAATAAAAAATTATATAACGGTATTTTATTTACTTTGAAGACTTGTTATAAGTTTCAATTATAAAATCGGAACGAATACGAATTATATATCTTATCTGGATGCAAAACCAACTTTCTAAGATTTTACATTATTTAATAAAACAAATTTTGAATGGGTTACTTATTACCGATTTAGAGATTTTATAGTAAAAGATTTAAGACAAATGCACTGAAACCTCTGAGAGTCGTAGGGCTGATAAATCATCGATATTGCATACAATACATTAATTATAATTAAAAGTTTAATATCATTATTATATTTGATAAATTTTGCATTCACAACGCTATACTGAAAAATATATTTGATGAGAAATGCTTAAAAAATCCACTTTGTCCCTGGCACTCTGAGATGGGTCTCGGTGAGAGCAGTCTCTACCACTGCTCTCTCTCTCTCTACAGCTCTAACCACTGAGCTACCCAGAAACTAACAGGACTTACGAATTTTTCAAGCACTTGTTATTTTTTCACTACTTTAGAGCGTATTTTCATCAATGTTCTGGGGGCCAATGCTACTAAATAAATTCTACTAAGTGACATACGATACAATTCCAGCTAAAATTGAACTGGAATTGTATCATATATCACTTTGTAGAATAGGAAAACCATTAAAAACTAGTTTCGTTCGGTTGCGATTCGTTTTCTATACGATTTAAACAAAATTTATTTAGTAGAATTGGCCCCCAGGTAATCTACCCAAACAGTCGAAAGAAATATTTTTACAAATATTTTAACTTTCGATAAAGATGAAATTATTGAATATCATTGTTTAATCTAGTTGACTACTTACAAGTGAGTTCTGAATAGAGGATTTTTTTATGTGGTTCTCACGTTCCGCGACTAATGATACATGACGGATTTTCCGTTAGATCTGTATCTACATATGATTATGGATATTATGATGACCCTAGCTGTTTTCCTGCGACTTTACTTATATTAATTGTAGACCATGTTACCCGCGTATGATAATACTGATATAATTTTTATGATTGGATTAGTATTTCCGAAGATTATCCCCTACAAACAAACAAACAACAAAGCTAGAAACTACCTCTTTATAAAATAAGTATAGACATGTATAGATGAAGTAAATTAATTGTAGTTCGTTAGAGTTTATTTCATTATATTAAGGTTTTTGAGTTTCTTAATAAAAATTGCATGATATCGTATAAATATTTATAAACTAGCTTTGCCAGCGGTTTCGCCTGCGTGGACCATAGGGAAATGTTTAGTGGGATAAAAAGTATCCTATTATTTAAGTCAGATAATACCCTATATGTATACCAAATTTCATCAAAATCCATTCAGTAGTTTCGGCGTGATTGACCGACAAACATCCAAACAAAGAAACTTTCACATTTATAATAATAATTAATAGGATAACCAGCTATCTTTCTACTACTTCGACTGTTTGAATTAAAGCTATAGGTGCCTAGGTATTGTATATGTTTTCCGTTTATGATGTAGGTATATAACTTCTAAACAAACAAATAAATAAAGTTAGAATTTTATCTCTTTATAATTTTACTATACTTAGTACATCAAAATAAGGAATAACAAAAATTAAAACGCCTATTTGCATTATATATATGCAACATATCAAAGTAAGCTGATAAAATATTGCTATATATTTTTATCAGGTAGAGACAATCTATAACTTGATCGAGGCGCTGGAATCCGGATCTTGCTGGGAAGGCAGACCAAGCTGGTAAAAAATAAACATGATTCTTAGGTACATTTCATAAATTTTACACTCACATATTATATTAAAGTTAACCTTAAAGAAAATTGCTTAAAAATTTATCAGTCCACGGTGTTCTCGATGGGAATCAAACCCATAAACTTTTCAAATCTATGTCACTGCCTACTGGCTTTTTAGCCACAAATTACTTTCCTTACTAGTGAGCGTATTTTCAAATCATAATCAAGGCAATTCACCAACTACCACAACATTTCTTTGCAACCTATATTGAACTCTGCTTACAATATGTTATAGTAGTATTTTCTTCATTCTTTACTTCCTATTAGTATATTCCATGTTGAATGTTAATGAACACCATAAAACTGAAGATTCGCGTTGGTTGATTTTTTGAGCGAGTCGTTTTACTTCTTATTACGCAATGAGTGTGGTCTCAAAAAAGTTTTTGCAACGCGTTAAGATCATTAAATTTTGTAAGCCCATAGAAAGGTGGCTTGTCAAGGTTGTATGGCAACAGATCCAGAAGTGGAAACCCCGTTTGAACCACCATATTTTTAAAATACGGGTGGGGAATTGGCTGCTTGACGATTAAGTATAACTATGAAACAGTTGGAAAACTGGCAATTTTTATTAAAATGTTATTTTCGTAAAATTTACTTGTGATTGATAATTAAGAGAACCGAAACGCGGGCGGCAATGACGGAGCATTGTGTGACGTCACATTTCAATGAACTAGACGTTAACGTCTTTGTTGCGAGTGCAACTAGCTATCTTATTAAATTTACGCTGAGACTGCACTCAGTATTTATCAATATTCATGTTATTAAACAGATACTTAGCAACGGTTAAGTATTCTATATATAATATGAATAGCAATTTTAGCGTCAATTTACTCTAAAGCTAAACTTTGTTTATTAATAGCACTGATAATGTTTCCGAAATAATCGCATCTCAATAAATCTCAACTAAGTACTTGCATTTTACTATTATACTAGCTACCAGAAGTCTAATATTAATATAGTGCACTGTCTTCTTAACGAGTCTATGTTTTAGTTATATTTATCAATTTGTGATCTAGTAACAAGAAATGTGTCATAAAGGTTTGGGTTAAGTTGAAACGCTATTGATTTTCCATAATTAATAACTAACATTAGCAGATTTGTCTACACATTGAAATGTGACGTCACGGCTTGAAATATCACGTGGCTGATTGTTTTCGCTGGACAATTTAAATTGATAATTTAGAATGTGTTGAATGATAATGATAATTTAGAATGAATAAAATAAATAAAGTGGTTTATTATGATCATATGAAAGTTATAAAATACTTTTCAACTGGTTACAGTCAGTCAATAATTAAATAGTCCATTATTATCTGATAATGTAGAAGTAGCAGCATGTTTGCGATTAATAGTTTCGGAGCTACGGTGCTGTTTATCGCTGCTGCTGCAAATCGATCGAAAACGCTCCCTACAAAGGCACTAAGTGACGTCACACAGTGCTACGGTAGCGATAAACGTATAGGCGTCTGGGCATACTTTGTAACATATTTGTGTGTTCATATCTGTTATGATAAAAGTTGTAACGTTTTATGTAACTAATTTATCCCATATTTATTTTAGCAAATTTTTGAAGTAGGTTTTTCATACTATTTTCAAGATTCTTAAGCGTAATATTTTCCAAATTAGTGCCACTTAATTTATTTTGTTAAATGTTTATAATTTAAAATCGTTCATATTTTCCGAACATATAACAGAAACCTGTATTTTCACTTGTAGGACACACGCCTATTGCCACGTGCCTTCAATTTAAGAAGAAACTTAAAGTGGCCATCTGTTTTAACGTTTGTAAGAAATTAATTATAAATAGTATCTTTGTATATCAATAGATGGCGCTCCTCGGTTATCGTACAAATTGGACTCGATACAAATTAAAACGTTTCTTTGTTCTAGACTCAATCAAATACGGGGTATAATAATGTACACCTTTCAAGTTGTACTTAGTTTTCGCATGGCTTAACTTTCGGGATTTTTATAGTCTGGAAACACTGTTGTCAAATCTATTCTTATTACCTATTTCATATTCGTACATCGTTATTAAAGTTAGTGAAAGTAATATAATGAAACGAATTGTCCCCATAACTTTGCTAAGATAAGATACTCGTAGTTATGATCGTACTGCTAGAGTTAGGTGGACAAAGCTCAGTTGTGAAACTCCTTTGCAATAACTGTAAAATTACTATACTTACTTAGCACTCCACGCTCGGTTACTGACACTTAACACAGAATATGTCATAACTGAAGCAGCTATTTTACCAAATAAACAAGAATTATTACCTATTAACAGTTCTTATCCCATTCAAAATCTTGTCTATTGGTTAAAAATATTTACTTAAGTTATGACATTTTATAAAGTTTTTTTACTTGTCTCGACTATAGTGGTTCACTTGTACTCTGAGAGATATCTGTGCATCACCTGCTTATCCATGCTGGCCAATCAAACGTTGCAACCGTGGCATAATTATCACTACCCATGAAGTAATAAAAAATAAATATCCAAAATAAATGTTTCTAGATGCAACCCAAGACTTGGTTGTATGGCTTAGTTCCTTCGTCTGTCTTATGGACGAAACTACTACTGTCTCTGGATGGTCGAAGAAAAATTTTGTACAACAGACAATGGCTATATGGTTAAATGGGCTAAGCTCTCTTCGCCTTTCCTATACGGAAAAACTACAAAAAAAAAATGTTTCTGGATGGCAAATTCTAAACCAGCGATTTTCAAATTTCTTTTTTTATTCAAAAGCTTGGGCCTGAGGTGGTACCATATGAATTTTATCGAAATCGGTTGTAGTAATACTTTAATAACAATATACTTCTGCCAAATAACGAAAATAAAAGAGTTTAAAGTATGAAATTGCCGATTTGTACTGAAAATCAAAATTGTTTATTTTTTAATTTTTAACAAATTTATTTAATCAAAATAATTAACATTATTATCTATAGATTTCTGCCATCTAATAATAGGCGTAGATAATAGGCTAGTTGAC